GTATGCGGTAAGGGGATTAGAGTTTAAGACCTGCGAATACCATACTTGCTTTTGTTCTTGGGCACTTTGCTCTTATTACCTTGTCCTTTTAGCATGAAAAACTATTTGAAAAGAGTAGGGGACTGTCTCCTGGTTTATTGGTCATGCTAGTGCTGCTCTACAACTGTAACAGGTACCTAAATATCCTTGTTCACTTTCAACCACTATGTACATTTATAATTAAATTTTACTTATTAATAGTGTTGATTACAATCATTGATTTTTGAGACTGCTTTGTCAGTCTGGCTTCAAGTACATATATAGTGCTTTTTGCAGAAAGCATTACATTCTTATTTTACCCCTGTCAAATGGGTAAACATACCATATTCCTCAGTAATGCAGCAGTATTCTTATACACTGCAAGGCACTGTGCTCAGACCAATACATTCAATGCCTGCTGGGTACTAATTTTTATACGAATAAGCAAGGCTGGAAAAAGTGCACGACCGGCAAGGCAACATGAATGTTCCGGAGGAATTTTGGGGAAACATAATTCCAAAAAATAAACTGTTAGGCTGTATAGAGTACAGATAAAATTTGGTGCTGCAGGTATTTTAAGGAGACAACATGGTAGGAGGCCTGTGAATAATAAAGATGGTGCAACCAGAAATGGTGGTATAGTTTTTTTTGTTTTTTTTTCAATTTGGCCTAATACTCACTGTCCGCCATTGGCATGTATGACAACAGATTCTTTCCCAGTGCTGATGATTCCATTGATGCTGTCCAGGATTTCGTTGTTTACAAGCTTGTAGAGTAGCAGGCGAGTCTTTGGGTCAACAGCTTGTTCCTTAAAATAAAATATATTACCAAATATAATTTTAACATTTTAATTTTGTACGTTTTCCCCACTTATCAACTTGTAGATTCCTGTTAGTGTAAAAAATTGTCAGCACACATAATTTTAATTACAGTATATTACAATTGTCCTTAAAATTTCCCTTCTTCATGCTACTATATGTAAATTTTAATAAAACAAGTAACATTGTATATAAACAAATAAAAATAAACAAAGAGTAGAATGATCCAGCTTATGTCACATACCACTGTAGAATGCTCTTTTTTATCTGCAATTTTTTGTGCTTTTTTCTCTTCAGCCTTTGAGTGTTTTTTCAGTGAATTGTAAACTCTGTTTGATAGTTTCATATCCATACCAAGGCTGTCTCCACTTTGGAAACTTGGTGGGAACTGAAAAAGAGAAAAAAATATTATTTTATATATTTTTACGGTCAGTATAAAACTGATATTATGATTGTTATAGCATAGTTATACTAACAACTGATGTCATTATAAAGGCATGTTCATACTTAAACGATAACGATAAAAAGCTAGAAAAGCAATTTTTCATACAGAAAATGAAAGAAATAAGTTTCACACTACCACGATTCAATGATGATTTATCCTGTACAGGGTAGTTTTCCTATGATTATGATATCATTTGATTAGACTTGTGAAAATATTTTTGTATCGTATACACGATAATTCGTTATCGAGTTGTGCTAGTGTGAAAACTTCTCTTATTTCTTTTATTTTCTCTATGAACAATTGCTTTTTAACTTTTTATTGTTGCAAGTATAAACAGGCCTTTAGATGGATACTAAAAAACCTTGGATAACAAAACTAAAACTAAACTAAATTTTGAATTGCTCATGTTTCAACTAGACATCAAGAAATCAAAAGTACAAACACTTGTTTTTTAAATCTAAAAACATTAGAAGTAATGTTAATTTCCTTTTATTTACCTATTTATTTATTAAAATTCTCATCCAACAGCGGGAAACCTGCCACTTAAGAATGGAACTTAAACTACTTAATACAGTACTACAGTAGAGGTGTTGTTGGTATTGTTGAGAAGGGTTTTTAAGAGTGAGTTTATTCTTCGAGAGAGGCGTTTATTCGTGGGAGGCGTTTATTTTATGTTTTTATTTATTTATTTTTTAATGGATACGTATTTCTTCAAATAAATGCCCCTTAATTTCACTGTAAATGTGAAATTACAACACAAAATTAGCTTAAAAATGTGTTATTGCTTGTGGGTTTGGTAGGAGGTTTATGAGGCTCTGGAGGGGGGAGGGCGTTTATTCAAAGCAGGGCATTAATTTTAATAAATACGGTATATAGGATAAAATTTCAGACCAACTTATACCATAATTTAAAAAAATGAGCAATTCAACTTCAACTTAGGTTTTTTGTCAGTGTTTCAAAGCAAGAATCTCTAAATAACAAATTTAGTATGTCTTGTCTAATGAGAAACTCTTTTATCAGACAATACACTTTTAAGATGCATAATGCGAAAGTGAAAGATTCATAGCTAACAAATAGCAAGATTAAATCAAATTACGACCAAGGTTTGGCTACATATATTAATAATATTAATTTTTGGTTGTTACTTTATCATAAAATTCCCATTCAGACATTGGTCAGTGGATGGTTGTTTTCAGCAACCGAACCTCTGCAGTGGTGACGTCTGCAGGGCAGGGGGAATTCTCCAGACCCCCCTGTCGAGGTCCTCGGATCAAAAATAATAATTTGCCTATCCAAATAACATTATTTTGATTCCAAACCTTTAAAATAGCGTAGTCTAAAATAACGATTTGGGCCATACTAAGCCGTAAAAAAGGCTCCCTGTGAGCCCTACCGAGATTTTTCTTCCGGGACCTCAACCGAAGCTCTAGTCAGCCCTTTGGTTTAGATTCCCCTGTCGGCAAATTTCTGGAGCCACTGCTGAACCTGTGACTGAACTGATTATATTCAACTTCCAATCCTTTTATTATTGTTTTCTCATTGCTGAGTATTGCCTAGTGAAATCTATTAAAAGCAGATATTGGCCCTAAATTGATTTACAACAGCATCATTAAAATTTTTACCTGTTCTACAACTCTGGAAGCATTTCTTCGTCCACAGGTAGCTGCATCATGTTTTGTTGTTATGTTCTTGCCTTGTCCGATGTAGCCTTTCTTTGATGCCAAGGCACTTGGTGTTGCTTCATTAGAAAAAAAAAATCATTAGTTTCACACAATACATGTTTTTCACACAATACACAAATTTGTATACAATACAATATTCATATTTTATTCCTTGCTTCATTTTTCGGAAGACATTGAAGCTTGGTTCTATATGCATCTATGCTTGAGTGAATGTTAAGCTGGAAGCTGAAATACAAGGAGAGCAGAGATGGGAATTGAAGCGAGGACCAAGAGATCTCCACGGTTCAGCACACACACAGTGGCTACCACCAGTTTAGCCGAGCTAAGCTACTCTCAGGTGTTAAGGAATTTATTAAACACATGAAGGGGATTGTCTTCTGATATACACTGACTGACATCTCTGTCAGAAGACATTCAGATCTACTGGAACCACTTGTGAGTCCAGTAATCTTTGAGCCCTTTTATAGTGTGAAGAATGCAGTGTCATATTTGTAATAGGGCATAACCACAACCTTTACCTGGAAAGAAGAGGGACTCCTCAAGATCGTCTGAATCATCATCACTCTCTTCAACTGCAGGATGCACTGTTCTATAATTGTTGAATAAGATTTGCACTGGAAAAAAGCAATATTAAAATCATATCAATATTTATCATAGACACATGAAGATCCAATAAAATTAAGTTTATACAACTACTATATTACATAATATAATAATAATAATTATTATTATTATGTAAGTCTTATATAGCGCACAATACAAGGAAGTTACCTCCATGCACATTACATCACCCAAAAAAAACTGGTCAAGCTCAGTATTTTACTGGTTTGAACAGAAAAATCTGCCAGTAGTGATGTAAGATAAAAGATGTTATGGTATTCATGGCTAGGCTGGGCTTATAAAAAGAGATTTCAGTCAGTCAGACTAAAGGTAATATCTTATAAGACATATCTGGCTTCAGATGCTCCGGTCACTGTATTGATTGCAATAAATTTCTATAATATTTAAATTTACAACAGAATGATGGTTCATGACTAAAAACAATTATCAACCTTTGCTATCCTTATTGTAGTGCCTTTCTTCTTTTGTTAGCATCAAGTCGTGTTCTTTATCAAACTCTAGCTGTAGCATTTGTGCAAGGAGCAGGTCATTGCTTGTGTCCAAGCCATCTTCAATTGATAAAAATTCACTTAACTCAGCTTCTGTATCTCTGAAACAAAAAAATTGGGAGAAAAAATGTTGTAATGATTGGTTAAACAACATAAATTTTATGTGATTCTTCTGTTCCGAAAAAAATGTCGAAGATTATATTTGTTGTATTTTAATGGTCATCATAATCAATTGACCGTAGCCAAGATTCTTGACACCTTTTGCTTCTGTGTTTGTTTGGTAGTTTCTATAATATGAGGTCCGAGATAATTTGGTCTGTATTTCAGCCCTTTAGCTAAAAACACAACGACAGCAATAATGGAATTATTAATTTTTTTTTTCTCAAATCTTGTTTGTTTCAAAGTAAAATTACAAATTATTTTAAAAATATGAAATCCCTAATGTCATTTCTTAAATATATTATAAAAACAAATATTTTAAGTAATACTCTATTATATGACATTATTAATATAATATTATTGAATTATGTTTTTGTGTAATTTTTGTGTTCTTTTGAAGTTATTATTATTTATCTTTTTTTTAATTTATTTTTTTATATTTATTGATTTATTTTTTGAATGGAATAGCACATCGTTTTTGGTTGACAGTGGCCCTGCCGCTTTTACTATTCCTTCGTGCTGATTTGAGTTTTCTTGTAACTTTTGCTTTATTATTTTCCTTGAAATTCGTAGTTTTTTTTGTTTTGTTATTTTGTAAAGCACCTCGAGGTTGTGTCAACGTGAGGCGTTATATAAATCCAGAATTATTTGAATTATTATTAATGTCTTTTTGTATTTTCTTGCCAAAAAAAAAATTTTTAAATAAACCAGAGACCCACGTATCTGCATGGTTCAGTAAACATGAATTAGCATATACACTCACTCTTTGTTAGTTTGTGTTGTAATGGCATTCTCTTCTTGTTTTTGGTAGGTTCTTGCTAGTTCCTCATCCATAACAGCTGATAATGAGCAGGGCACAACATGTTGAGCTGTCACACCCCATGGACTTGTTTTCAACACTGTATTCTCTGCCGGATTCTGCACTACAATTTCACTTTTTATACCTTCCATATTTCTGTTTCAGTATTGCTGAGGTGTTTTTAAAATTTAAATATATTGCACTTAATCTTTGGTCTGATTTGGTTTCTGAAAGAAAGATTTTTCATAAAATTATGTTAAACTTAGCCCTAAACCATGTACTGTAAAGTATTTTATTTGAATGATGAACACCTACAAAATTAACTAACGTAAAATTTGTGCAGAAGATTGTTAGGTAAGTGTGCAGAATCACAATTATTACTTATAGTTAGCTGCGTAGAGTATTCTTCTCCCTTAAATGGAAGACTCAAATTAATGAGATTGAAAACAAAGTCTCTAAAAGCCTTGGTGTCATTTTTAGACTGTCCTTATTTATTCCTTTAAATATACTACAGATTCTCTATTGCTCTTTGTGTTTACCTTATCTGAGCTATTGTAATATTGTCTGGGCTAAAATTTACCCATCCAATTTTCGTAAAAAAAAAAAACTAATTCTTAAAAAGAAGGCCATCAGGATTATATCTGGCACAACACCGAGGTCCCACTCTTCTTTCTACTTCCCAATTATTTTTGCCATAAGTCTAATCTCTCTTTGCAGAACATTTCACTTGATCCAGGTCTTTAATTCATATTCCAAATTATAGGACAAATTACTTTCAATTTAACATTCGATTTTCTGGTCCTAAGTTATGGAACGATAGACCTCTCTCAATTGTTAATTCACATTCAATAAAACAATTTTCAATTAAAATTTAAAAAAACACCTTATTGCCAATTATCAATAATTCTCCTAATCATTTCTTCCCATCCGTTTTCAATCGACTTTCTGGTTCAATTTCTTGTGATCTGTCGTCTTGTCTGTGTTTCATGTGTTTTCTATCTCTGTTGCTTCTTGTTTCGTTTTACTATACTTTTATCCATTTTTAAAATTTCTATATATTTATTTAATTATTATTTTGTTTGCTCCATTTCTGTTTCCAGGCTGGCCCTACACAAGGTTATTGCAACCTTCTCGGGCATTTGCCTTCTTCCCTTCGCATTATAAAAGTTATTTAATATTATTATCGCTGAATTTGTATAATTATTACATTGTATGCCAATTGTTTTTTATATTCTGCAATATTATATTCTCTACTGTATAACTTACTTTTCATTATATTTACATTTCAAGGAAGTAAATAAATTTTCTTTTGAATTTGTATTGAGATACATACCAAAACTAAATTTTTTGCACAATTTGCGCAGATTGTGTTTGCGCTTCATAAACGCAAGGGAAAGGCGCAACATAAATACCCAATACCAGTACCAGTACCAGCAGAAGTGTAGGCTTTTACCGGTAATTTGCAAGGATGGATTTTTGCCTAAAAGAGGGCCACATGGGATGGTGGAAGATGATGCCTCTTCTTCTTATTATTATTATTAATCCTCAAAGTTACTACAGGACTCTTTATATAGGGCCTACATACTACTAGCAAAAGGCCTAGAGCCTAGGCCTAGCTAGTACTAGGCCTAGCCTAGTAGATACAAATACTTTAGTAATATTAAATAAAGGCCTATAATTCTAAATAAAATTATATCAACAATAGACCTTCTAGACTACTAGACTTACTAGGCCTGGATATATTTTTTATGGCCATCTTTAGGCTAGGCTTACACGAATCTCGGCCTAGGCCTTAGCCAATCTGTTTCGCAACTTGCAGCCCGAGGAATGCGACTCTTCCCAATCCAACAAGCTACCCTAGGCTAACCAGGCATAGATAGGATAGGCCTAGCCTAGCACTACAAACAACAGCATGCAGTGACGATAGTAATATAATTCGTAGAGAACTGATAGGCCTGGAGTGTTATAATTGCAACAGATTTAACAGAAATTGCTACTTAACAAACCAGTGCAATAAAAATACGTTACTTACTCTAAATTATCGGTAAAAATAAATGTTTTTTCACGGTCCAAGTATATTAACGAACCAAATGTATCTTGCACAATCACACGTAATCGCACGCTAGGTGGACACTTTTTCCTGAATCACAAATTCTTGTTTTGAATTTACGTCACTGCTATTCTCAAAATGTTGCGTCCACTGCTGTTTACAACGCGTTACCTGGCAGTAAAGTACACTACTGTATAGTTATTTGCCTATATTGAAAATCATCACAGAGATTGACCATAAAAATGGAAGAAAATGTATTGAGTTCTAATATGCACTTAGAAATCGTTCTTTTGTTCATATAGGTTAATGTACTGGGGCCGTACCGTGTCATCATAGGCCCTGGCCAGTGTAAAGAGCTGTCTGCAAAATACCGTATAAAAACATCTATGTATGTAATGAAAAAATGAGCATGTACAAAATACATACAATAACCGTCTATCTGTAATTAAAAATAAATATGCACTGTTTGACAAATTCATTATGATAGTATTGTTATACAATGACTATTCTGTATAGGCCCTATTATGTAGGCCTATTTTGATGGTCAATAAATAAATACAGTGTAATAATGATTTGTAACAAAAACTCATTGCTGTTTCCTCTCCTTTCCTCCTCCTTTATGAATTATAGCCTTCATCAATTTCCCCATTCTTTATCTTTTTATGAATATTAAGATATGAAATTGACTACTATTAAAGATGAATTTTATAGAAAACATGTTTAAAACGAACATTAAGATATTTTTCTTCTTTTTATAAGCATATTCCGTTGATAATTGTAGTAGTAGTAGGGTAATAGCAACTAATGGCAAGGACAACAATACCTTGATAATACGACAGTAGTAACATTAGGAATAATCATTGTGCACAGTGGTGTAGCCCCTATGCGCTCTAATGCGGCGGTCTGCAGGTCTCCCGTGACCCCTAGGGGCCCGACAAAGGGGCCCACACATTCCTCGATCCAGCACCCTGACAAAAAGGACTTTGATACATAACAACATTATGTGTCTCTGATCTACTGTCCGGGGCATATATCATATTATATCTAGTGGTGGATTACGGAGGGGGTCCTGTCGGCCCGGAACAGACACCACCAAATTTGTCAAAAAAAAAAAAAATTAAAATGGGCTAAGGCTGAGGTGGTATAGACTCTCAGAAACTGACAAGTCTCTTTCTGCCTGGTCAGTTTATTTCAAGTACATGGATCCGCCACTGATATTAGGCCTATACCATTTAGTTGTCGTTAAAACATTTAGAATAACAATGCAAAAATTATTTTAAAAAACGAGCGTATCTAAAATCCCGCGATGGAATTGGCGACCGGGACCCAAAAAGGGTCCCCAGTTTCAGAAAGCCATAGGGTCCTCTGTCCCATCGTTACGCCACTGATTGTGCATACATCAGCAACACTGCAACAGTAACAATAACAATAATACATTAATAGAAAGACATGGCCTATCGGCTATAACAATCACAATGACATTACTACAATTAACAAACAAGAAACATTTTTTATGGTTTTCATTAATTGCTATTTTCATTTGAGATAATAGACTCTCGTTTTTTCGGGACAAATTAATTTGAAATATTTATGATTGTTGCTCTTTTGTATACGATAACATGTGCTGAAAGCTATTTCTTTGACAAAAGACATAAAGATAGGAAATTTTGTGTCTCATCAATGGCTACCAGATTTTGCGTCGTAGGAATACAGTTTGTGCGTTTTAGAAGACAAGAACAACGAGAAGCGGGTGAACGCTATTCCTAAACCAGGATTGTTGATTGCACGGAAAGAGTACTTTATTAGTCTTTATGCTATAGCGTCCTCTTTCGGAAATGTGGCTATTTATGCTTATTTTTGATAACCAGGGAACAGTTAAATGTTTTGACTGTTCCCCGATATATAACATTCAATTTTTATTATAACTCTGTTTTGTACTACAAATTGTTTTTAATAAAAAGAAAACGTTTTGAACGCCAAACGTACAATTTTTTGATGAGGGCAACATGAAAACACAAAGGTTCTTACCTAAAACAGTCTTAGATAAATTTTGAAAAGCAAAATGAATTTCTCTCTTTGGTGAAAAGTGAAAAATATGTTAACAAAGAATAGAGTCACTGTAAAGAAGGAATAAGACCAGAAGCGATGAGTATCAATGCGATCGATGAATTGATAAGATTGTGGAAATTTGATAAATTCTACAGAAACGAAACCTATTTCCTTGAAAGGTGTCGTATTTTTGTTTGTGTGTGTGTGGGTGTGTGTGTGTGTTAAACAGATTCAATATTTTTGTTATTTGTTTATAAGAGTTTTATCCTTTTAGTTTAGGTCTAATGTGTCTCAACAATGCACCACATGTTTTTCAGAGTGACGAAAGGTTTTTTTTTTATTTTATTTTAGAAGTTAAGTGCTCCATTATGGCTAATAAAAATAGGAGCCTGTGTCTGCCATACTGCCTTACTGTATAACATGGGATTTGGGTACCAGGAAATGTGTGGTGTTGTATTTTTTTTAATGAATTTACAGTATTATTAGGATGACACATTACAAATCATGCCCCTCCACCGGATTTACCCTTTTAAGGGGCATAGACACAAAAAAATGCTCCCAGCGGGAGTGTGTGTCTATGCCCTATATTGCCTATTGTATTAAGTCCACAGGGATTCGGTTATCAGAAAATGTGTGGTGTTGTATTTTTATGACTTACCGTATGTACAGTAATAAGGTACTTAAGATGACACATGACCCATCATGCATCTCCACCGGATTTACCTTCGCCATATTTAACTGCCAGATCATAACATAGTGTCTTGTCCCCGAGGGGCATATACTTTGGGGTCCCTGCCCTAATAAATAATCAGTCGAAGAGTCAGATCAGACTTGATATAAATGTTACATGGGCGCCATTCTAAATAAAAAATACATTTTAGTTGTTAAGCCTATGAATATCTCGACCATTGTGGCAAAAGCAGAATTAGCAGATCTAATAGACCTATAGTTATAATTCTATAGCAGAGATGCGTTCCGTCTGTAATTAAGCGATTGTTTTCGATCTATAATGTACTAAAAGCTTCAGGCTTATAACTCATGTTGTGAGTAATTTAAACAATCGGTTTCTTAAAGCCTTTGTTCTCTATTTTGGGTTTCAGCAGTAAACCTTTCAAAATGTTAGCCATGTGACTATAATAAGCATGATACCGTACTGTGTCAAAAGAAATGTGTACTTGTTGCAGTAGGCCTACTGTACACTTTTTTAGATTATAATTAGATACGTACTACTATGCTCGTGCCAATGATGTCACTACAGCTGTCTCTTATACACATCTAGATGTGTATAAGAGACAGGCCCTATAGAGTAGGAAACACCACGTAGTGTCATTGTGTTATATGCTGTTACACACAAGAATAAACACGCGAGCTTTTTTTCTAGGTTAGAATGACGTCATGATTTAAATATTCTATGGTCAATTTCCTGAAAATTGTCAAAAGAGCTGCAATGACAGACATGCCGCCCTCATCTGATTGTAAACAATCTTAGCACCAAGTTTCATTTCTTAAAATGGCGGCTTAGTGTGCATACGGTGGAATATTTCTCTTCAATGTTTCTGTAATTATGTTGCATTTCGCCGTTCTCAAGCCTTGAATTTCTGTTTTTGGTGAGTTGAACTATAAAGCCTCAATGAAGGCGATAAAACGATACGCGTTGGTGCTTATAAGTGGGGTGTTATTACTGTTGTTTTACTATGGAGGCCTCCACATGAGCTACGGGTCGCTACGAATTCCTCCGCTATCGCGACGAAGCCTACGGCCATTTGTAAATACTGAAGAAATAAATTACGATTATGATTTACATATATCACCCAGTGAAAGGAGAGATACAAGAAATAATTTATATAGGAATAGTAAATGTCGCATGGAAACATGTTTTGATTTTTCACTTTGTAGAAAAGGATTTAAAGTTTATGTTTATCAAAGTGCTTCCAAAGTCAGTCAAAGTTATAACAAAATATTAACTTCAATACGTGAGTCTAGGTATTATACAAGTAATCCAGAAGAAGCATGTGTATTTGTACTTTCTATTGATACTTTGGACCGGGACAAACTGAGTTCAGAGTATGTGCAAGACATTGAGTACAAAATGTGGAACCTTCCACATTGGAATGGAGGCAGGAATCATATTATATTTAATTTGTTCTCTGGATCGTGGCCTAACTATCGTTGCGACGATTTAGATTTTAATTTAGGTTATGCAATTTTGGCAAAAGCCAGTTTTACAAAGAAATTCTTTCGGACAGGATTTGATATTTCACTGCCACTTTTTCCGAAAGACCATTCTCAGAAAGGCGGTGCTCCTGGCAGCATGGTTGCGAATAATGTTCCACTAACAGGAAAGTACTTACTAGTATTTAAGGGAAAACGGTATCTTACTGGAATAGGATCTAATACGAGAAATGCTCTGTACCATGTTCATAATGGCAAGGATATAATTCTCTTGACGACATGTAAGCATGGTAAAAATTGGAAGAGTTTGATGGACTCAAGATGCAATCAGGACAATGCCGAATTTGAGAAGTAAGTCTCTTTATTTTTCTTAAAAATTAAACTCATTTTTTTCATCCTTTATCATCACACTTTAAACCTCCAGTAAGATCATCAGCAGACATGAGTAAATATCGGGCAGATGCGAGACACTGGTTGGAAAACATTGTTGCTAGTGAGATCGCAAGCATGCTCTTCTGGCAAAATGTTTGCCAAGCCTACCCAAGCCTACAATGGAAGTAATCAACTGAAACATTGCTCTTTGAGATGTCGTCAGTACTTATTATATGATATAATTCAATGAAAACATTCATTAAAGGGATTTTAAATTCAGTTCTTAGCAGTGTCAGAATAGTGTATGCCAGGTGAGATTGTCAAAACTAATTGTAAAATTAAAATTATTGGTGCATGCTCAAGCGCTCTACTGTATTTATTTGTTTATTCTGTCTTTCTACTGCATGCACTTTCAGTATTTGTGTACTGTTTTTCAAAGTGGTACAGTTTCATAAAATACAAAGGTTAAAAGAAAAGTAATTAAAAAACATACATATATATAAATAGATATCATAATAAAAGTGATTAAGAATTAAAAGAGTTTTT